ATCCTTCTACAAGTTTGTTAATTAAAATTGTTGGAGTTTTTTCCAAAGCACTTCGCAAAAACACTTTTTCTTAATTTTGATCAGCATGTAAAATTTGATCATATCGTATTATACATCGTTGTAATCAGGAACAAAAAGACGTTTCAAAAATACAGAAATAGAATATAGCCTCCATAAAAAAATCCAAAGTTGGATTTAAAAAGAGGATGGTTTCGCCAAAAACAACAAATTATAAACCTAAGCAAAATTCTCTAATAGAAGTTAAGCTTAAAAATATTGAAAATAATCGCTACATTAAAAAATGCCAAGAAACATTATGGTGCTTCATTTAAAAAAAAAACATATTTGTATTGTAACTTATTTTTAGATCACCTGTAAAATAAAAAATATTTTCCTGAAATGCGCGCCTAGAATATAAATAAAGTCTACACAATATCAAAATTCACACTTAAATAATAACTGAGCTACATAAGATGGAGGCTGAGATGAAGAACCCTGTTTGACATCAGTTGTTTACAAAAAATAAGAGGATATGTGTCTTTAGTTATTTAAATGCTATTACTATAAATTGTGAAAAGTTAAGGATCTACGACTACATTAGCAACTGAATGGACCAGTTGAATGTTAGGTGTGATTGCACCAAGATCTTACAGTCCCCAAGCATCTTATATGGTCCTATAACACACCCTAGACCGGCGAAAATTACTATTACTAGATACATGTTTATTGTACAACTGTTAAAATAGGTCGAAGAAAGACTAGGAATACGTACGTCAGTCTGCAATTAGTAAGCCTTGACTATTTCTAGTCATTTGACAAATGTCAAATATTTTTTCTAAATTCTCTGAAGTTTTTTATTCCTACTACCGTTTACGGCTCTCAAAAATTGTTGATCGTTTGTTTGTTGCATCGCCGTCTCAATAGAAATAATCCTTTTCTCGCCTGGGCATTTTTTGAGTTCAACTGATTCCCATTGGCGCTTTAATCTGGGGAAATTTTTTGACACATCCAATGTTTTAGCTTAAAGGGTTCAACCTCATAATATCAAATCTCTCTGGATGTTTAATCTTCATTAAACAGAACTATGGGCTAATTTCTTATGGAGTTCATTGAATCCAAGTCAGTCACCTCACTTCCCTGTCTAGTGACGGTTCTGTCAAATTGTGCAATAAATGTTACCGAAAGAAAGTGAGGAAAGCCAGAAAATAGCTTATAGTTCATCAGCATTAATTGTTACTGCTCAGCGACAGACCAATTGTACCAGCGCCACACAAACGGTGGAATTGTGCAATGTAGATTATAGTTTAATTAAAGGTTGTAATAAGCAAACTGTTTTAGAATCACATTAGGTTAAGAATTGTAGAATTAATATTTTTATAATAAATTGAGTATTGATCGATTAGTACTCCTCCATCCCTTTACACTGGCGTATCTTGTTTTGTTGTCCTCTTCCTTCCCAGCTTTTATTAATTGCGTTATTTTTCGTTAATAATTAAAAATTATTCAGTTTTTCCTTAGTAACCCCCGTAACTAAGAAAAAATTCGGAATCGCTGCTCCAATGCATTTTTTACGAAATGCCCAGGCGGGATATTGATACATTTCATTAAGGAGGTGGTGGTTTGTTGTAATTTTTTTTTTAATGCTTGCCGAGAGCACTTCTGAGCCATAGCCTTTTACGAATTTCGAGATTCGCTGTCTCGGCAAGAGTATCCAGAAAAACTTTTTCATATATTTGGTAAGAAGGCCCCTTCATACGCTACTGTGAAGCGATGGTACAACGAATTCGAACGAGGTCAAACTTGATTGACAGACAATTTTCGTGAAGGACGTCCTTCAACGGTAACCACTGAAGAAAATGTTAATGTGCACCGCATGCTTTCCGAAAAAATCGTTGCACCTATGATAATATTCAAGGGACTCTGGCAGGAGTCAAGTCAAAAAGATCCTTCATGAAAACTTGGGTGTCAGAAAGGTGTGTGCTCGATGGGTGCCTAATGACCTAAAAAAAAGCACGTGTAAACTGGTGCAAGAAAATGCTCACCAAATTCAATAATAGACAGTCAAATCATGTGTTCAACATTGTAACAAGTGACGAGACCTAGATTTACCGTTATGAACCTGAAACCAAGCCTCAGTCCGCACTGTAAGTTTTTCTTTTTGAAGAAAATCCAAGTAAGTCCGAAAAGTGTTGGTCGGAAAATGATCGCCGCATTTTTCTCTAGATCCGGTTACATTGCAACAATTCCACTTGAAGATATAAAAACTGTCAATGCAAACTGTTACACATCCACTTGTTTGCCACAGGTCTTTAGAAAAGTGAGAGAAAAGAGGCCACAAAGTGAGATCATCTTGCATCATGACAATGCGTCCTCCCACACTGCTAGTGAAAAGCTTGAATTCTTAAACGAATCAGGGATAAAAATAATGACGCATCCACCCTACAGTCCTGATCTGGCCCTTATAATTTTTTTTTGTTCCCGCCAATTAAAAACAAAATGTGAGGCTTGACTTTTGATTCCCCTGAAGCTGCCGTAGACGCGTTTCAAAACTTAGTTAATGAGTTGCCTTTAAAGGCGTGAAAAATGATATGTTTGTTAATAAAGGCGCAAAATTTTTAGCCTGACCTACGTAATAGAGGAATGCCACTGTAATTTATTTACAAAAAGGAATTTCATATGCATGTTTCACTTTGATAATAAATTTATTAATGAGTGTTGTTCTGCATTGTCTTCACAACCCTTTGTAAGACGAATTTTAGCACCAAATGCAGTTCCCACCCTCAATTTAAGTTGTCATGTTTTACGAAATAATTCCCAATTCACGTATGTTATTTTCACTGCAAAATTTCCCATTTCTATTTCTGAAAATATTCTTCCATAAACAGATTCCCCAAATCTGGAGAAAATTCAAGGGTACCTAGGCCTACGGAGTAACTTGATACCCCCAACAGATTCAATAAATTAACATTGTTCAGCTTATTTTCTTATAAATAAAATCTTTTTTTACTCCCGATTTTGACGGCGTTTTGAGTCCATATTCAAACAACCGATGCATGCGAAACGGATTGTCAGCCTCGCCGATAAAACCTAAAGGAGTCCTATCACTGGTCTTGGGTCAAAGAAATGCAAGAAGAAAAGGTTTTCATCCGAAGTATTGTTTTTTATTTTCTAATCCTCAAGACACTATCAGAGAAGATAAATCTTATTTAAAAAAAAGACTTCGTTTTGATTATTATGAGTATCATGACTACTGTCCAAGGAGAATTTTTGGCAAAACATGTTTCTGACATAACTTCTTGATGGGACTTACACTGCACAGTTACCACTTTGAACTGACAACACTCTTAGTGCTAAATAACCTAAGAGCCGTTTGCCACTATACTAAATTCACTACTGAAATAAGTACTTAAAATTCTCGTACTGAAAAAAGCATGCGCGCGTCCTTTCAGTACAAGAAATTAGGGCTTGTTTTAATTTCTTGTACTTAATTCGTGTCTCATATGCTTAAACTACTCAGAGCAGTTGCGCAGTAACGACCCTCACGTTACCAACATTACCGGTAACAGCTGATGAAAATCAACATAACCTAAAAAATTAAAGAATTATTTATTTACACGTTGTTTATTTGATAAAATGTGGTCGCATCAGCAAGTTTCACTAATAATAGCAATGGTTGAAGAAAACAAGTGCTTGTACGAACCAAAGCATCCATACTACAAAAACAGAAATGCTAGAAACCAAGAGATTTAAGACATATATTAGAAGTATGTTCTTAGATAGACAAAACAATCTATTAATTGCAAAAACAAAAAATAGAGTGTTCTATTTGAACTATTCAAGTTTTTACAAAATTCGACATTTTTTGTGTTTGCAAATGCAATTAAAAACTGCTATACCCTTAAAGCTTGTACTTTCCTCTTTGTGGTAGTAGAATTTTTTTCTTTCTAGCTGCCCTAGTTTTTGTGTAATAAATTTTTAAAAAGAGTATGTTTTTGTCAAAAAAAAAAAAACTTATTTCAAAAACTGAGCCAAATCGATCAATAAAAGGTTAGCTTTTAAAGACATATTATAATAAAAAGATTTATCCAAAAATCCCAAAAAACATCATATTTTATTTAACCTTCGGATGACCAAGGGAGGAAATTTGGACCCCAGACACCGTTTTTCATAGAAATTTTTGGAAATATTAGCGTTAATGGTCCCATTATTTTTTTAATCCAATTTTTTGGCGAGTTTTCTTATGTGTTTTATTTTTAGCTTGATCGAACAACCAAATTTGTCAAAAAAAAAAAATATTTCTGACACCTTGTGGTCAAAAATGACCCCTCTTGGGTCAATTCTACAATTATAATTTAAGATTATTTTTAAAATCCACGCACTAAATGTGTCATTTAACATCACCTCAATTTTGGTGCAAGTTTGTAAGTTTGTGTCATCAGTGACAGTCTTGTGATGAACCGAAAATATCTTACCACACCAGAGTTAAGAGGCTATAGCTAACGAAAAAGACTTTTTCAATGATATTAACGACAAAAATGTGTCTGAAAATAAAAATCAAGTGTTGTAAGATAAGCCATCGAATCATGAAAGTTCAAATTCAAGTAATTCAGCTAACACAAGTTAGGTGGTTTAGCATTTTTAAAAGGCATGTTAAAATCAGATTTGAAGGGCTAGGGTCGTTTTAGTAACATTTATTAATCTCTACCTATTATATTCTGTACATTTTAAATTTTGTTAAAATCCCTTGGTAAATAATAGATATATGAGATCCGAAAGTCTTAGGTGGTACACCTTGTATAAAATGTTATATCAGTTCCAGAAGTCTAAATTCAAATTTTCCAGAAGACAATGATCATACAAATGTTTTAAAGAAGAAAAAGAAGTCCCAACAAAACTTTATAAATAAATCTTACTTTTTTAAATTATGGTGTTTGTATTAGGTAGAAAGAATGCCGTTATAAAAGGGTTGACGTTAAAGAAATATAAACATTCTCCACTGATTTATTACTGAAAAAATCCAAACTAGATTCATAATAACAAAAATTATAAAAAAAAATAGTTAACCAAACTGAAAATTAACAAACAATTCTATAATAGTTATGTTATAAAACTCAATTATAAGACTTAATTGTTCTTTTAGGGCGAGTGAATTGTACATGACGTTGCAAACTTTGGTTAAGTAGCAACCGAACGTTCTTCATTGATTTATTAGTCGCAGTATCCAAACTGTATTCGTAAAAAATATATGAAATATTATTAACCAAACTGAAAATTAACAAACAATTCTATAAAAAAAACGTAATAAAAATCTCCTTTAACTTCTAACTTGATGATTCTTTTTTTAGCTGCAAATGCACTGTTTTGACATGAAGTTGCAAACTTTGGTTAAGCCGGAACTGAGTATTACAAAATCTGCATGAGTATATGTTTTCCTCTGACTTTGGTTTAAGTTTTTTGTGAATTCTCGAATGCACTTTTAAAGCCATCTTAGTATTGCATTTTTTACCACAAATTTCACACAGACACTGTTTTTTCTTAGTGTAAAATCTGCCACGACTTTTAAACACTTGTTGTTTCGATTGATGACTTTTAATATGTTGCTGTAGCGCATCATTAGAAGCAAATCTCCTTGAACATAATTGACAACCATATGAGTTTGTTTCCCGATAATATTGTTTAAGTGACATGTTTAGATTGTGCATCCGTCCATGATGAAGCAGACCTATCCGTTTCCTTAAAAATAAGTTAGCAAAAATCAAAATCAACAAAAAAACCTACTCACTTAAATGCTTTGTTGCAAAGATGACATTTAAACATTTTGTTTTTAAGCATATGACTCTTTCTGTGGTTTTTCAAAGCCGACTCGAGAGTAAATTTCTTCAGACAAAGGCCACAAGAGTAAGTATTTTGTTGTGATTTTTCCTCATTTTTAGAGGCAAACGTTGATAATTCCACACTTACAGACCTTGTTTCAGAGGGAGCTTCAAACTTGAACGGTTCTGTTTTTATTTCTTGCGTAAAAGCAATTTTTATTGGTTCTTCGATTTCGGAAGAACAACTTTCTTGAACACCTTTTCTCAGCTCAAAATCAGAAGCTACGATGGCGGAATAGAGATCTATAACAACATTTACTTTTCCTTCACAAATTCCACAAATTGAATTTGGTAACCCATCGCTATGACGAAACTAAAATTCTTTTATAAAAATATATAAATGCGTACATTTATCTTCTCATTACCTGAATTGATGTTAAAAATGACAACAACTCCGACACTGATAATCCTATGCGAGTTTGCTTGAAGATATTTTGGCAAAGTCCTGGTTCAATTTTGATTAAACATATCCTACACTTGGAGTTGTTTTTGTTTTCCATTATTAACGTCAATTCGAATTCTTTTTGTTAAACAGGGGTCCTACAAAATTCTTTACTAAATATTTAAAGTATCCATTTAATTAAAAAAAAGCACGCAATACAACCACGGTGAGACTAAACACAAGTATAAAAACCTAGCTTCCAATTCTACCAAACTGATTATGCAGCTTTTCTATTCATATTTAACAATATGAAATATATTATTATTCAACGATTGTCAGCTAACTAAGTGAGAATTTAATACAATAAATTATCAAAGCGTAGAGATTTTGCCAATTTAATTAATCTACGTAAATATACTACTGACATAAAAAATCGTAAAGTTTCTTTATTTCGAACACTTCATCGAGTTAATCTTAAGAACCATAATACCTAGACAAATCGCTCTTGAAGCACATGAAAACGGCACAAATATCTATTCAAGTTGCCCACTTCCGGAAAAATTTGACTTTTAATTAAAAATTATCCTTCTGATATTTACGCGCATTGTTTGAAAAACTGATTATGTAGGCTGCCCAGACGTACTCTTTTTCAGAGTATTATACTCTTTTGCAAATAATATCCTCTTTACTCTTACTTTTGACAAAAAAAAAACGCTTAATATACTCTTTTTACAATATGTCAAATGCTGATACGGAGTTTTGCATTATTAGACGAAATTGTTGATTTCATCGTAAACATCAATGATCATTTATGTAGGATTATATAAGCAATATACTACACATACACGTACATCACTATATCAGCATCACAGAAGCGAGATTGTTAACACGTACTTTCCCTGATGTTGCAGTTTTGAAGTTACCTGATTAAATCCAAATCAAGTGAGATTCAAATTTCAGTTATTAATGTATTGTACTTAATCTTAATATTTCAGTTTTGTAGTGCGACAACAATGTCTCGTGGAAAGTGCAAATTTTTGGGCAGTTTTGAAGAAACATACATGTTTGCCAAACGCGTAAAGGAAGATCCATACAAACAGTCTCTATCATAAATAAAGGATAGTTCGATATTGAACAACATGCGAATTCAAAGAAACACAAACAGAGCTCTTCAGTCTCTATTAAACAAAAGTTGGAGTCATTTTTTCGTCGTAAGAATCTAACTTCATAAGACGAAAAACTAACACTTATCGAACTTACATGGTCATACCGTAATGTGAAACATGACCATTCATTTAGGGATATGGATTGTACATCAAATTTATTAAAGAAAACATGCGATCGTAAAATAACCTGTGCAAGAACAAAGTCAGAATGTCTTGTTAATAATATTATCTGCAGTTGGTCCGAAGATGGATTGAGAAAAGATTTGCAAAAAGCATGTGCTCTCATGTGATGCATAAAACCACAAAAATATCAAACTGTTTCCTGTCGTCGTGAGATATTACATTATTAATCCTTCAATAGAAATTAAAACCTGTATTTTGAAAATTCACAGTCTCCCAAATGAAACGGCTGAAACTATAACTAAGGTAATTATAGAAGATTTAAATTTATACAATTTAGAAGATAAAATAATTGAATTTTCTGCTGATAATGCACCAGTGAATTTTGGTGCAATATCTTCCAAAAAGACAACTGGAAATGTTCATGCAAAACTTGTAAGCACTTACAGAGAGATGTGCTAACCATAGGATGTGCAGCTCATATAGTACACAATGCACTTTCTGTAGCAACATCTAAGATAATTCCAGTAGATATAGAAAATATTATGTTCAAAGTATATTACCATTTTAATATATTTACTGTTCGAACAGGAAAATTGAAAGAATTTTGCAACTTTATTGGTTGCGAATTTAAAATGGTACTTTCACATTCCAAGACACGCTGGCTGTCTCTGTCACCATGTGTAGATAGAGTGCTTGCAGCTTTTGAACCTCTGAAATCATATTTTCTTAGCGAAGAAAATTCACCACATGTCATTACTATTTTTTTTTTGAGTCTGAATCTTCAGAATTTTGGTTGCTTTTCCTCCAACCTCAATTTCATTTATTTCATGAAACTGTGAAATCCATAGAAGGAAAAGATGTGAGTGCAGAGGAAGTATCAACAGAATTTGATAATTTACTTTCTCAATATAGAAGCAGACGTGAAAGCGTTTTATACCATTCGTGGCTGACAATGTTTTAAAAAAGCTTGAAACAGAAGGATTGTTAGATAGATCTTATGTTACTGCAGTACTTGTGAGATTTTAAACTGCGATAATAGATTATTTAGAAACTTGGACTAACAGATTTTGCAACAAAGCAAAAAAGATGAACCATCTTATACTCAACAGGAAATTCTCTTACGAAGAATTTAAAGAATCATATATCTTCTTTTTAGATGCTACCAAGTCGCTACCAATGCCTGCCATAAGTAGCAATGATATTTTTGATACCTACAATTGTATAAAAACCTGCCTAGACATAAATCTAGAAAAGTGGAAAAGTGATACAGTACCCTTAGTTATGAGGTGGAGAACGTTGCTCGAAAGTGCGAATGAAGCAAATAGCACAATAAAACATTTATCTTTTATCTTCACGCTTCCAGGAACAAATGCTGAATGCGAACGAATTTTCAGCATCTTGGGCCAATATTGAACCAAAGAAAAATCTCATCTCAAAATTAGTACCCTTGAGAGCGTAATGAAAGTGAAAGAAAATGTCGGCTTAACCTGTGAACAATTTTGGGAGGAAATAAAAGGAGACAAGCAGTTGTTAGAAAAGGCAAAAAGGTCTGAAAAAAATCAAACATTAACATCAAATTTTTACCCACTAATGTTATAAACTTATAAATAAAATGTAGTTTAGAAAATCATTGTCTACAAAAAATTTCTGTCAGGAGTCAGAAAGTCGTACGGATATTATAAAAAAAAGGTTGACCACGCCCCTTTTTCAAAAAAATTGTCGCCTGCTGCGCAATTCTTGCTCGCCCCGCTCGCTTATGATGATTTCTGACAAAAGTAGGTACTCTTTTTCTACAAAAAAAAATCAGATAAGATAATGAGCCGGTATACGTTTTTCGTCGTCCATTACTGTCAAATTGTGGTGCCCCCACCGGTCACTTTTTTTCGCAATTCTTGCTCGCCCCGCTCGCTTATGATGATTTCTGACAAAAGTAGGTACTCTTTTTCTACAAAAAAAAATCAGATAAGATAATGAGCCGGTATACGTTTTTCGTCGTCCATTACTGTCAAATTGTGGTGCCCCCACCGGTCACTTTTTTTCGCCTATTGTCGATGATAATCTAGTTAATTTATCTAATTTCTAGACAAACCAACCAATATCGTCTGTAGTCTCAAAATAAAGCTGCACTTAGCCCTATCTTCTCGCGTTTGGGTCACATAAAAGTACCATAAGAAGTTAAGTGTAGTATTGGATAAGAAACTGATACCATGTGCTCGTTTTATGTGGCAGCCTGACTGCATTTAAAACATTGTTTATGACGTATTTCGTTTTTAATATTAAATTGGATCCATACATTTTACATTTCTGGCAGTTTATGAAAATATTTTATTTCAAACTTGTTTCTGAAGATGAGCCAATGAAACTGAAACAATCTTTGGTAAGATGGTAATTTTTTTTACATTTTGTCAACACCCGATCTGTTTCAAAACTAATTTGTTAATTTCTTGGTAAATATTTTAGAAGAAGACTAAACTCGAATATTTAGAAGCAACCAAAAAGTTATCTGCCAGAGGGGCTCTCGAAGTATTTCAAAATCGTTACATATTCAAAAATAAAGGGAAAAAGCAGACTGCTAAAGAAATGTAGGATTTATTCCTCCAAGAAGATATGGGAAAATCAGTTAAAAAAAAAGATGATGGAAGCCAACTGTACAACTTCTGTTGACGAGATTGCTTCTCGCGTTTATAATTCCATTAGTGATGGTATTCATAGCTACTTTGAGGAGGGAATAAGAAAACTGTATTTACTTAGGTCTGAACTCAATAGATGTTTAAATTCTTTATTTAGATATAAAAATTTGAGTTGTTTTGTATGCAGATGAAACATGTTTAATTATTTGTGCATATGTTTTACCACTTAAAAAAAAAACTAAAAAAACTTTATGGTATTTAAGACTTGTGCACGGCCTTTTTGATAATCCCAAACTACATATACAGTGCTGTTTCCTAAATTGTTACAGATATTTTTACTGGACTTTTAGTGGATTAAGGAAACATTTGATGAACAAATACACGATTAAAATAAATCGTGTTTTTGTTCATCGTTTCCATACCAAGAGGATCCAATAAGAAATTTAAACATTTGATAACTTGATAATTTGATAACAAACAAATTGAAAATTATAATATCAGGGACCCGTTTCATAATAAACTACAATCTAATATTATTAGACTTGTAGCTTATAACTTGCAGAATTTGGTTTCATAAAAGAAAATACAAAAATACAAATTACAACTTGTAAAATTGAAAATACAAACAGGATGTATCAAATTACAAATATTTCTGTTGTAGATAAATTTATGTCTTTTTGAAATTCGCGCCTCGCGTGATGAGGGCGCGTGTGTCGTCTTTCAAGTAGAAGTAGAAGATGGCGAATAAAACCTAAGCATGGCGTGCTTGTCTGTTATTTAATTTAAACCATCCCATCCTCGACTACAACTTCAGAAGTGGGATCAACCACAGCCCCGAGGCAACCGTAGAATTCGATGAGACAAGTATTTTCCTGGATGCGATAAGCTGTGAAACAAAAACATGCTGGGCGAAAATGATGACGAGGGCCGCGACGAAGCAGCGGGAGATGATGCTCCTTTAAGGATCGAAGACATAATTGCAGTCACTGTAAGAACGTTGCAAAATCAACGAGATTACAGTATGAGGCAGAGTGAAATCGTTAACTTAATACCCGAGTTTGCTGGAACAGAAGGAGAGGATGTGACGTTATGGTTCAATCGCATTACGGCTGTTAAGAGGAATTATGGTCCGAATGACAGCGAATTATTGTTGGCTGCGATTAACAGACTCTCAGGATTTGCAAAGAAATGGTTCGACTCCAGGCCAGAACATTTGGATTTAAGCCTTGTCGAATTAAAGGACAAGATGATTTCGACTTTTGGGAACAGAGAAGACCGGTTAAGTTGTATGAAGAGATTTGAAGCCCGGAAGTGGGGAAGAAATGAGAAATTCCTGGAATATTATAATTGTTTTATTATTATTATAATTATTATTATAATTATTATAATAATTGCATGCTTCAAACACAGGCGAAGATGTCAAGATTTACTTCCTTGTCAGAGTTTATGAAAGTGATGAATGAAATTTCGGGTACTGAGAGACAAGCGGGTGCAAATTTAGGCAGCAGTTCGAGTTCTTCAAGAACATTTGGAAGACAGGTCCCAACTCAGACGAAGGCATCGACGTCAGCAGGAGGCGTCAGTGGCAGCAGTCACAGGGTGATGTGGGGGTCACAAGTACGTTGTTTCAACTGCAATATTGCAGGGCACAGAGCTAGTGAATGCCGTAAACCAAGAAGAGCACCTGGAACATGCTTTGAGTGTGGACGAGCAGATCACAGAGTACGAGACTGTCCAGTTGCAGCAGGAAGGAAGCACACCACCGTCCAGGCACAAGCAGATTCCACCACCAACGTTATTGAATCATCGACAGCAGCACCCTATACAATTTCGGTAGACCTTACGACTAAAGACGAGTATGATACTATTTGTAATTACCATTTAAATTGTCTTGTTGATACGGGAAGCCCTATTAGTTTGATCAAGTCTCGTTATATAGCAAATATTAATTATGACCCGACTCATAACAATGAAGAATTTTCTGGTATTAACGGATCTAAATTGACTATCCTTGGCATATTTAATACTGTAATCACTGTAAATTCTGTTAATGTATCTGTAAAATTTTACGTAGTACCTGACAATACTATGTCTTTCAGCGCTATACTTGGTAGAGACTTTATTTCTTGTCAAAATTTAAAAGTTTCATTGGGTAAAACAGTTCAGATCGATTGCGTTCAGAGTTCTGAACTATTAGATTCAAACGAAATACCTCATATCAATATTGACGATGATTTAGACGATGCTAAAATTGATTTGAATGTTAATCCCTATTTACCTTTACATGTTAAACTGAGACTTAATGATATGTACGAGGAGAGTTACAGGAACCATTCTGATCCGGAAGACTTTAAGACTGTGTCGGACTTTGAAATGAATATTACACTTAAAAATGATCAACCTATTACGTTTCGACCGCGACGTTTATCTTTTGCTGAGAAGGAAAAGCTCCGCGTAATTTTAAATGATCTTGAAAAAGACGGTGTAATTCGCTCTAGTAAATCACCTTATTGCAGCCCGATTGTTTTAGTACGCAAAAAGAATGAAGAAATTAGGCTATGTGTGGATTATCGAGAGCTCAATAAAATAACAGTACGTGATAACTATCCTACCCCTCTGATTGATGATCATTTGGACATGTTGAAAAATAAAAGATATTTTAGTTGTCTTGATCTAAGAAACGGTTTTCATCACGTACGCATGGCTCCATCCTCCATAAAATATACATCTTTTATTACACCTTTAGGTCAGTTCGAATTTTTAAAGATGCCATTCGGTCTTACTAATGCGCCTCGTGTGTTTCAAAGATATATTCATGAAGTGTTCTCGGATTTGATTAATAGTCATAAAATTCTTATATATCTTGACGATATAATGATTGCAACCGAAGATTTGGATGAACACCTTTCGATTCTCCGTGAAGTTTTTAATATTGCTGGTAGACACAAATTGGAATTTCGCTTAGATAAATGCACGTTCCTAAACTATGAAACTGTTTATTTGGGTTATTTAGTAAATGAAAAGGGCATCCAGCCAAATCCCGAAAATGTGGGGTGTGTTAGAAATTTTCCCATTCCCACCTGTTCGAAGGACGTTCAAAGATTCTTGGGACTAGCGAGTTACTTTCGACGTTTCATTCCATCTTTTTCTATAAAAACAAGAGTTTTGTATGACTTGATTAGAAAAAACGCTGTTTTTAAATTTGGTGATGGTGAGCTTATGGCTTTCAAAACTTTGAAGAATTCTCTAGTTGATGCACCTGTTCTCGCTATTTATTCCCCCTTGCTGGAAACAGAAGTTCACTGCGACGCTAGTTCAAAAGGTTTTGGTGCTATACTTTTACAGAAACAGGATGATGGTAAATTTAGGCCTGTTCGTTACTTGAGTAAGCGCACTACCGAGTCTGAATCCAAACTTCACAGCTATGAGCTAGAATTGTTAGCTATAGTTTACGCAGTTGAGAAATTTCATGTGTACTTGCACGGGTTGAGATTCAAGGTAGTAACTGATAGTGACGCAGTTAAAATGGCTTTGAATAAAAAGGATATCAACCCTCGTATCAGCAAATGGGCTCTTGTTCTCGAAAACTATGATTATACAGTTGAACATCGTGCCGGTAAACGAATGCAGCACGTTGACGCGCTGAGTCGCTGCACTCCCGTGATGGTAATTGAAGAAAACACATTCGAGCAGAATCTTGCTATAGCACAAAATTTAGACCCAGCTATAAAAGCTTGGAAGTCAGAATTAGAAGTGAGACAAAATAAAAAATTTGAGCTCCGAAACGGTTTAGTATACAGCAAAGTTGATGATAAACTCCTCTTTTATGTTTCAAGTCTGATGGAACAGAATATCTTAACGTTATGTCATGACAATTTGGGTCACTTTGGTTTTGACAAATCTTATGAATATTTAAGCCGCGCGTATTGGTTTCCGCACGCAAGACAAAAGGTTCGTGTTCATATAAAAAATTGTTTAAAGTGTATTACGTACGCTCATGTGACTGGTAAAATTGAAGGTTCTCTTCACAATATCCCAAAAGGCGATAAACCGTTCATGACTATACTTGTTGATCACTACGGACCGCTAGAAAGAAAGAAAGACGCCGACCGGTAAAAAATATATTTTCGAAGTCATTGATTCTTTTACCAAATTTGTCACTCTATTCGCAGTGAAGTCTACTAAAACTTGCGAGGTGATTTCGTCGTTAAAAACGTACTTTAGGTTTTACAGTGCACCATTCCGCTTAATTTCTGATAGAGGTTCTTGCTTTAAGTCTTCCGAATTTGAGAAGTTCATAGAACAATATGGTTTCGTACATGTCAAGGTTGCTACAAGTACTCCCGAAGCCAATGGCCAAATTGAAAGGGTCAATAGGGATCTAACTCCGATGTTGTCGAAATTATCAGATCTTCGTAATCATTGGGACAAAGCCTTGCCCGAGGTTGAGTTTGCGATCAATAATTCTTATTGTCGATCTATTGGAAATTCTCCTTCTAAGTTACTTTTTGGAGTCAATCAGAAAGACAAAAACGATGTAATTAGATATTACTTAGATATCGAAGATACAAATCGAAATTTAGATTATGTTAGGGCAAACGCTCTAGTTGTTAATACAAAAACTCAGTCTTATAATAAAAAATACTATGATAATAAACATAAAACTCCCTATGACTATAAGGTAGGCGACTTTGTAATGACAAGAAATATAGACGTTACTCCCGGAGTCAAT